GATTGAGCATCCAGGTGTATTGGGTACCCTGGACGTTTGACCTCGTCGAAAGGACGTATGATCCGGTGAACTGGCCCCTGACCCCCAATGGATTGCGGTTTTCATAAACCGCCCCGCTGCTTGCTGGTCAGGCTTTGGTTAGCCTATGGCTCCGGTTGTGGATTCCTCAAGAAAATTCACATGCCTTGGTATGGGTAAGCTGGCAGTATCCGGCCCACATACAAATCATGGAATGTTTTTCTTTTTATAAAGATTATTGTACCATGATTTGTTTGGTACACAGTCTGTCCCCAGACGGGTGTGAAATATAATATAATAATATAATATACCTGTTACTAATAAACACATTCAGCTGATGGGTGTGGGTCGAGTGAGATTCACAAATTCCAAAGGAGTGTAACTCACATCGAAGTCCATCAAAAGTCCCGATGACTGTGGAAATCGGAGTGGGTTAAACGGGACACGATAGTCGAGAAATATTAACCACTTTGGTTGGTTTGGTGCTACCCTCAATATCGAGTGATAAGTGGACCCTGTAACACAAACCAAAATTCGAGACACAACAATTCTACCCTGTAAAACGTTTTCATTGGAACAGATAGTCTTCGTTATACAGTATAAAGTGGTTCAATTGACTGAATATTACTTTTTCGAAAGCTGTTTCAATTGATTGATGACTCCAATTCAACATCTAGGTTTGGATCATGTATGAATAGATAAAAACAGTTTAAAGTTAATAAGCATCCGTGTGTGAGCGTTTTCCTATCTCTCACTTTATTTCTACAATTCCTTATTTTTATGATTGATGATGTTCGATGATCGTTCTCAACCTCTGAATTTCCAAAGTTGTTCGCTGTTCCAAAACAACAGAAATTTTTCGTGACTGTTTAGAAACAAATTGTCACTACATCATTCGTCTTTGCTGTGAAAACTATCCATCAAGTATTATAAAAGGGTAGAATAACCGTTTCGAACGGGTTAATAGGGATGTAAATATATAAATGTATACATATGTATGTATAATGTGGATCTGTCACTCGTTTTTAACCGCCGAGCACGTGGTGTTACAAAACAAAGTTCTCGATTTTGTCGGAAACTTGGCGGTTTCCCAAATGGAAGAAAAAACTATGAAAATTAATGACCTGATCCACAAGAACTGTAAATATCCCGAAAGATGGTTAAGCTATTGACGAGGATGTTAGCGATACTCCCTCCCATCATTAAATTTATTATTGCGTCAGTAGAATTCAAGCGTCGAAATATATAGGATCCAAAACAAGTTTAACGTGCTCACCCACCATGAACGCTTCATGGTACATCGGGTTTGGTAGCTGCTGGACTCCACCAACCGTGGACGAAGCACTCGCAAAAGGCTGTATACGTTGCGAGCACATACAAGCAGTGTGTTTCAAGTAGCAAGTCATTGAAATGCCTCTACACTAAAACAAGTAACCTAAATAACTGTTTCTGGTTTTGATTTAAGCCTTAGTAGAGCAAACTGATCCATTTATTATCCAAATCATGTCTGAAATTTTGAGTTATTGTTTTGAATTGTGAAAACGTCAGTAGCCTTGGCAAGATTCGAACCCAGGCATGGACTCCATCCACGCATAGCTCAGCTGGTATAGGGTCGAGACTGCGCTACACAAGAGTGTAGGTGGCGTCCGTGTGTGTGAGGTTACTACTGAACGTTCCTCAATTCAAAACAATAATTTAATCTGCCAGACAACAGGAATGGAACAACTGGCCCGGATACCTTAGAAGTCCAACCGGTGGGTTCTTAAGGAAACCTGTCGTTGTAGACAACTTATCTGCAAACTGGTGGAAGAAATAATGCTGGCCTCAGTCATCAAACATGGTTTCGCAGTTATTTTTGAGGCAATCGAAACATGTTACCTGGACAATAGAATATGCCTAAAACAAATTAACCCCTACTCAATTTAGACGCTGTATTGTTTGAAATAGACATAGTGTCAATCGGAAATATTCCATCTGAACCTAATGTTGCTCATAGTTCCCCATTATTTAGGTTATATACGAAAGTAATGCAAGATGTGATTCACATATTTGATGGATTTCATCGAGTGTAGGTAGATCAATTTAAGTTCGAATGGAAAAACGAAGTAAAACTTGGTACCAGTTTCGACCTGATTGGGTCTCATCAACGCAGCGCGAATTCATCGACCCAACTGAGGATCGAGCCCCGAACCTCACAAACAGAACACAAGCATATTACCCACTACATTACCCAGATGTATAAATTGGTCGGGTTGAAATGTTTTCAATGAATTCATAACCCCACAGGCTGGTGCTGAGATGATCTAGGTTTGATGCCCGGACCAAGCTCGCAAAGATGGATTGTGTTATGTCGTGTATATGGAAAATTAATAACTGTCCGTTCGGTTGACCGGTGGCCGAGTGGGTAGTATTGTTAGTTGTAGCTTGTGTTATACCCGCTAGATCCCAGGTTCCATGCACGGTTTGATCGATGGGTTCGCACTGATGATGAGACCCAATCAGGTCGAAACGTAGATATAGCGCTGCCCAGCTTTCCAGATCAAGCTTCATTTGACCTATACAAACAGAATTCATTAGTTAACTGATCTCGAAATATCACCATGTCATAAGGTTAAATCCCTTTGAAAAACGCTGCCAATCTAGTTCTCGATCAGCAAACCGAGACAGTTCAGAGAAGGTGAGGCGATATCGATCAAATTCGCTGAACTAATGAGTTTGATAATACCCCCCCCCGCCCCTCCCGCACTTCGCCATCCCTCGTTGTAACCCATACCCAGATAAAAAACAACTATATAATTATTCATCATGCATTAGCCATTGCAAACAGATTTTTCAAATTCCCATTCGATGTTTTAATCGAACGAGAGTATTCATTGTCCTTGGTACATCCTTTGCTGACAAAGTGCTTTCAGAGCTACTTCATCCGTTCATGATAATAATAATAAACAGGTGGATTTTCACAGAGTACCCTTTTCTCGTTAAAAAATGTGCTGTCCTTTTTCTATCTATCCATTTATCTATCTATCTATCTATCTATCTATCTATCTATCTATCTATCTATCTATCTATTTATATATACAGACTTTTGTATGTTTGCATAAAATCCCTGCTGTTCCTCTCTTGCATTGGGATGAATTGTAACACACCTAAAAATACGTAAGAGTTCTCTGAAAAATATAAGTGCACTATGTTTTTTGTACGGAAACCTCCGTTGGTAGTAATGGCCTTCGATAGTTCTCTCTCTTTGAATATCACACTTGTCACAGTGCGAACATATTCGACGGGGAAAATGTTTACAGACATGCGAACATTTCATAATCCAAGATTAAGACAAAGTTATCTCTTTTTCTGTGAGTAAACGTGCAAGATAGGTGAATTTCGATAAACGTTTATAAGAGATGAGATTGGGCGGAATTGTGAGGGAATGAAGACTTGTCAATTCTGCATGCAATGAGTGGTGGTCAGGATCTGTGAGAATCCGTTCAGCAAATTTCACACTGGAAGTTATATGCTACTCTGAAAGCTTTAAAGCTAACTCTCTCACAGGAATAGAAAACAAACGCAGCTAATAATAGTTAGACCGCGGTGTAATACTTTGAAATCCTGTTTAAGCAAACCAGAGAAAATAAGTGGGGAACAATAAAGTAAGATGCGAATATCACATTGATACACAAAGATAGAACTAACTGTGTGGGATGCTCGAAACTGTCTGAGCTTTCGAATTTGAAATATTAGGCACCGCAGTTTACCAATCCAGTTGTGAATGTGGGTTGATTAACGAGCTTGCTGTCTGATTGCTATTTGATAGGTTTCACCCTGGACAGAGCATGGTTATTTATCATTGTGTGGTCTGAAGAGTACGCAACACTAAATCAACAATTACAATTTGGGAGAAGAATAAGTGAGTTTGACCGTTATTTTCCGCAAAGGATGATAGATCGGAAGAAGAAGAAACTGGTTCGCACAGCAAAACATCGTCCACATATTTCAAAACACGTGCAGGAGGTGCACACAAAATATCATAAGTGTACGTGGAAAAAGAGATATGGGGATAGCACATTTCCTTAAATAACTCTGGAATTGTTGACTAAGGGTTTAGATGAGACTTTTCCAGGTCTAGTTGCTTGTTATCTATCGGTTAAGTAGTTGAATGGCTAGGCTAATAATCTCTTGGCGCATTCAAATGAATCCAGTTACGGTAACAACATTGATCGAGGAATGGAATTAAATGTTGAATGATAGTAAAAAAACAACAAACAGATGTAACAGAGTTGTTCAAAGGCTTAGTGATAAAATGAATAAGGGTAAAGACTGTGTCTAAAAAGGATCTATTGGGCTTGTAAGCAAACTGAGAAGAATCATTGGGAATACTTATAGACTGCTGAAGGCTTTTGAGGATGGTCGTTTCAGTCAACTAAGGAGCAGAAGATATTAACGCTACGGGAGGAAAACGTTTGGAGAGGATGGAAGATTTTATTGCCTTGTAGATTGGTATGATTGTGACCGGCCTCCAACGGTCGGGAATAGTAGAAGTGTAAAGCGATTCATTTTTAATGGAATTGATTGCTCTACCTAGGAAAGCAGCAACATATATGAAGAGTGTTGGAGATAGACAACCCGGATCGACAGAAGAGGAAGATTCCAAATATTTATAAGTTTTAACACATCACTATTTGAGAATGGTTCCATATTACAAACATTGTGTACCGAGTAGGCTGAAAGAACGTCCAAAAACTGGCGCATGAAGTTGGCATTGAGGTAATCAGCATCTTCTACATTCAGTTTCGATCGTACTTTCTTCCTTCTACAGATTAGTCTGACACCATAACACAGGTGTTTGCTCGTTTCCAGTTAGCAGAATCCGATTAGAGAACGGGTGTGTCCATGTACATTTAAACAGGCAAGTTTAATCGAACAGAATACCATACATAGGAGATTGAAAATAGTACCAATGAGCGGATTAAAGGGATGTGAGAACGTACTAGTTATAGAGTACGATATCCGGTGTCCAAATCAATTCCGGGGGTATTCGAACCTCGCGAATATTTGAGTAGTTAGCCGGATCCCATCGAAGCAGCTGGTCGATCCATGTCTGTAAATAAGGTATGCATACATGATGGTGAGTAACTGTTCACTGATATTCTTTGATCATAATAGAGGGAGAGAGAGAGTGAAGTAGGGGGGGGGGCGGGGAGGGACATCGGGTACCGTTCGCGCGTGCTGGACGTTGGATCCGTAGTTACAGGACGGGTGAGAATAAGGTGACTGATCATCTGTTTTTCTTTTCACGATCGTTTGAACTATGTACCTTTAGTAAAAATTGCACTCATTTAAGCGTTTTACAGTAGAATGTGAAGATATCTATCTAACTTTGTAGGGCTCTCCATTACTGGTCCCAATTTAACCCAGAACCGACACAAAGTCATTTATACTCAAACGTGCGAGCAGACGAAATCTTCCTGTTCGCTCGATACCTAGCGGGTAAGAATCAAATCCCCGCTGGCGAGGGACAAGGCAATGACAAATGTGTTTGTTTGAAACCATTCCAATCTTGCTGACGGCCAATGAGCCTGAGCAAGCAATTCGATAATCTTTGCTTCCTTCAAGCGGATTAAACCAACCACAGCTCTCTATCTCTCCCGTCACAGAATTTTCGATCTGTGATAAATGTTCACAATGTTTTTATAAATACGTCAACCCCCTCCCCCGCCCTACCCCGCATTGTTTGTCTGGAAGGACGGATTTGAGATTGGGGTACGAGGGAAATTATAGATAAATAATGTGTCCTTGCCTGTACCTCACCAGCTGATGGATTGGATTTGAAAGGCCCGGTCAAAAATGATGATTTTCGTCAAAAACAAATCTATGCAAATTGGTTTGGCTTGGCCATTCCAGTGCAAGTTATTCAAATGATCCCTATAATGACGATTGTCTTTCTGTCTGAAGAATAAACAAATCAGCGATATTTTTAGTCACCTCGTTGGTTTTGTTGTTGCCAAACTCTTATGATGAGGGTCCCAATTGTATTCGTATAGCACAATTTCCTGTGTCATTTGTTTCTCCTTACATGTCTCGTTTCTCTTCCCTCCCTAATCCGATAGTACCTTTCTGTGTACAACAAATAGCAGCGATTCATTCCTGTTTGTCAGAATTTCAGATTCATTTGGTTGTTCAGAGCAGTGTCTATCTCCGTATTCTTCCCGCACCGAAAGAAAATTGATAAAACTCAAGCCTGAAGGATCAATACCTGTTCCAGTTATCAATCACTTCAGTGGCTAATTGCTTCTTGATTTTCGGAAGCTGATGAAGCCATCAAACTGATACATTTCATCGTCACACTCATCCTGTAAACAGGGGTAAAACACGGTTGCACTCGAAGAATCACAATAATTGTTTAAAAGTACTTTACTGAAATTGAAATTACATTTCATAATGTAATTGTGGGGGTGGTGGGTGATTGAAGGGCTTTTTTATTACACACTTTCGTGTGATGAACAGTAGACGGGTTAAACCCCATGGTGACGAGAACCTGCTGTCCAGTGATGGAACCCGGAAACCTAAGCCCCGGGACTTGGAGTGGTGAACCACATAAGGCATGGTGTTGAACCGGACAACAGCAAAGCTACCTACCACCAAAGTCGAGTGATGGTGGCAGAGCTCGAACCTCGGACCATAGGGCCCAAAGCACGCTTGTGACAGCGACTAAACCACTACGCCACCATCACTATCACGTTGTCTCGGTTTTCGTTTATTATTAACATTCAGTCGTATTTGCTTACCATACCTTACTCGAAACGCTGGATGAAAACAAATGAAATCAAACGGTGGATAGAATAAGGAATGGTCGCCAACTGCATTGTTGATAGCGATATATCGCTGTGAACTTCTGCCCCTGTGAGTGCGCATTTGCATCGACTATTTTATCATATTAGTTGGATAGTATATATTATCCCTGCGTGTGGGGGTGCATGGGTGTATGTTTCAGGGACGGGTGAGGGACCACGACCTAGTAGAACAAATAATTGATCAAAAGCGTCCAAAGATAGCTACAATGTCTATGTATACTTAATCTAATGGGCTAATTCAAGCTTGCTACCGTAAAATATATTTGTTTTTGAAAAGGAGAAGACGTGCGATGAGTGATAGTATTTATTGTGACGTTTCGATCCAGACTGGAACTCGTTGTGAAACGATAATACGTGTGAATGAATTGGGTCTGCTTGTGCCTCGCACTGTGGTTTGCGTCGCGCCTATTTGTCCATCAATCCCGCGTTCATCATTAGTTGTACAATCGTTGCGTAATGTTTATCGATTTCCACGTGTCGATTGAATGAGTTGGTCGAAAGCAGCGCTTCAATGATCAGACGTTCCCCCTTCCTCTTTGCCCTTGCCACTACTTTTGCGTCATTGATTCTGACCTCGTGACCTGCCGTTGTGCAGTGGTTCCAGAGGTGTGACTTCGGATCGGCGAGTCGTAGTGCAAGTGCGTGTTTGTGTAGGCGAGTGCACAGTTGTTCGTCTGTCTCTCCCACGTAATGTTGATCTCAGTCTAGGCACGGAATTGCATACACCACCCCTGATTGGTCGTGTGGTTCCACATAGTACTTGCCGTTGAACAAAATTGATCGCAGCGTTCTTGTAGGTATGTGGGCAATGGTGACATCCAGAGGGTGAAGGATGCGATTGACGCATTCTGATACCCCACGTAAGTATGGTAATAAGAGTTTCGTTTTCTTCTCTTCATCCTTCGGTTTTCTCCTTCCCCTAAGGTATGATTGGACGAAACTTTTGGGGAATCCATTTGTGTGGAATTGATAGAACAGATGCATTCGTTCCTAATTCCGGGGTTCCTCTGCGCTACAATGTGTGTCCGCACGGCGGAATAAAGTGTACATACAGCTCCTGAAGTGACATGTAGGGTGATTGCTGTCGTAGTTCAGCACCTGGTCTGTCATTGTGGGTTTTCTGTACACAGTGGTCTCTGTTTCCGTTTTGCTTTTCTTATCAGGAGGTCGTCCAAAAAAGGGAGTGTCATATCGTTTTCCTCCTCGCGGGTATAGGCTATCCCCGGCATAACCTTCTTTAGGGTACCATGGAACTGCTCGATTCTTTCTTCTGGCAGAACCACGAAGGTGTCGTCCACATATCAAACCCGAGGTCAGTATTCTTCAAATGTCTTGGCTTCGAATTGTTTCATCACCGCATCAGATAGTAGGCTGGATATTGATAATCCCATTGGAATTCCTTTCACCTGTCGAAATAACCTGCCGTCAAACTGTAGGTATGTTTCCATGCAGAGTTCAAGCAGCTCCATGATGTCAGTCACTAAAGTGGTGTTCTTTATGAAAGACGAGGATCATCTGTTATCAGATTCCGTATGCTCTCCAGAGCTAGTTGTGTCGATTTGTTTGTGAACAGAGATGTGACATTGAAGGACATAATTTTTTCTTTCGGTTTCAGTTGTGATACTCTTATTCGATCTAGGAATGTGACCAAGTTTTTTATGACGTTGTCTTCTGGGATGGATGGGCGTAATAAATGAAGGAGATATTTAGCCAGCTGGTAGTTGGGAGCCGTCGTTGAAGAAACGTTTGGACATAGTGGTACTCCGGTTTTATGCACCTTTGGTAGTCCGTAGATCCGCGGGGTTGGACCCTCCGTAGATTTGATATCTTTGTATTGTTTTTCAATGAGTTTGTTGTTTCTCTTTAGTTCTGTGAGCTTTTTAGTAAACCTGTTACGTAGATTTGTTATAGGGTTTCCTATGACTGGTTGATACGTCTCCGAATCACCGATGAGTCTACCCAGTTTTTCTTTGTACTCCGTTTTGTCCAGTATCGCAGTCGCATTACCCTTATCCGTGGGTAAAATGACGATGTCTTGATTTTTGCGTAGTGCTTTTAGTGCTTTGATCTCAGCCGGTGGTAGGTGATATATGTCTCTCGG